TCAGTAACTCAACTTTCTTCATCCCTTAAATGCCTATTATGTGTGAAGCACTCCTGATTTATCTCTAACATCTCTCCTTGATAAATCCAGTGGTTAATTCTTTGTCCTCATCTTATTGGACCCATCAGTAGAATTTTACTCAGTTGATCACTTTTTCCTACTTGAAACCTTTTCTCCATTTGCCTTGCAAGACACACACACACTTAAGTTTTCTCCAATTTCAATGGTTTCGCCCTAGAAACCAGGCTCGGTCCTTGGTCTTCTTTCCTATCAACATCTTTGCCTTGGTGTATTCATTTAGTTTTATGACTTTAAGTACTACCCATGGGCTGGTAACTCCCAAATGTCTATGTCAGATCAGTCCCCTCTCCCAAACTGCATACTCATATATCCAACTGCCTACTGGACATCTCTGATTGTCTACCAGATATGCAAACTCATCATACATGACACTGAACTCCCAATATTACCCTAAAACCTACCAATAAATACTTTCTCCATCTCAACTGATGGCAACACCATGCTTCCAGTTGCATAAGCAAAAAACCTGGAGTCATTCTTGAATTCTTTCTTTCACATTCCTCATTTATTCTGCAGGAAATCCTGTTGGCTGTACTTTCAAAACATATCTAGACTCTGACCACTTCTCCCCCTTCTACTGCAGCCATCCTGGTCTGAGTCATCAGTGTCTTGCCTGGATTAATTTGTCTTTCTGTTTCTGTCCTTGCGCTGGTACAATCTATTCTTAAAGTGATCTCTTTAAAATGTGAGTCAGATCATGTCACTCATCTGCCAAAAATCCTCCAAGGGCTTCCTAGTTTACTGAAAGCAAAAGTCAAAGTCCTCGCAATGGCCTACAATGCCCTGTAGGATCTGTCCCTCCCAATTACCTCTGCCACCTCCCCTACCACTGTCCACCTCACTCACTCCCTTTCAGCCACTGGCCTTCTTGCTTTCCCCCAAACCATCTGGCATTCTTCTATCTTGGGAGCTCTGCTCTGGCTTTTTCTCTGCCTGGGATACTCTTCCCCCAGACCCCCACATGGCTAACCCCTTGACCTCCTTCAAGTTTTTGTTCACACATTACCTTCTCAATGAGGTCTACCCTGACCACCCTATTTAATACCATAACCATCCCACCACCTAGGCCTGATCCTCCTGGCCCTACTGTTTTTCTTATTTCCACGCCACTCATCAATCTCTAACACACTACATAATTGACTCATATACTATAATTTATCTACACTTAAGACTACAAGCTCCAGAGGGAGGGCATCTTTGTCTTGTCCATGGACATATCTGAGTACCCTGAGTAGACTAGGCATCAGAGTAGGTGTCAATAAACATGTTCCAGGTGAATGAATGGACAAATAAATGAATCAACAATGTACATCCAAGTCAACACTGAATCCCAATCCTAATAATTCCACTTAGGAACACTGCTAGGATCCATTCCTTCTGCTCCACATCTGTTTTTGTCCTAATGCTACTTTTGTTACCTCACAACCAAGGCTTTGAAACTCAGAGTCTGCACTCGTCACTTGCTATCCATCTAGTTTGCTCGCAGCAGACCAGTCCCCCTCACGTCACTGCCACTCCCCGCCCCCCCCCCCCGGGTATTATGCGTGGCCTCCAGAGGGCTCTTGGATCCCTTCCCTCAGTCTACTCTTCTTGCCTTCTCTCACTACCCTTTCCTTTGTGGACCTTACCTTCCTCCCTACTGTCTTCCAACCCTGCCTGCACACTATAACCTCCACCCCTTTGCTCACAATGCATATCCCTCCCTTCAGTGCCCTCCCCTCTCCTGCTCTCTGTATTTCCATCCTAGCTCACTTCCCATTTCCTCTGCAAAAGCTTTCTTGACCCTCCAGTCACAAAGATCTCTCAATTTTGGACATTCACAGTGCTTCCAGTATGGACCCCCGATTCAGGTGACAAAATCCTATATTGCCTCACGGCAGATCTTAGAGGGTTTGTGTGTGGTTTTTTTTTTAACTGTACTTTTATGTAAGTTATGGATTGTTATGTAAAATTTTTGTGGATTAGTCTGGCAAAAAGGAAGATTTAAGTTTTAGTTGTGAGGCTGATTGATATATCTTCTCTCTCCACTTATGTTATAAGCTCCCTGAAAGTGGAGACACTTTCCTTAAGCTCCCTTGTATTTCTCACGGACTCGGACACAGTGCTCAGCCCCCAGTAGGAGGGCAGTAAGTGTTTGCAGGGCAGTTCACTGATTCAGCACCCACACAGAGAGGAGGCCATGAGTGCTAAGGCACAACGACCAAGGGAATAAAATATTACTGGAATAAACCAAGGTTAAAAACAGAAACTGTGCAAGGGAGCGGTCTTCTAGTTAGTTTCTTTTCATAAACTGTCATTAATGTGGCTGATAACATGGAAATGTGAAGACTAGTTGACCTCAGTTCTTAATTTAGAATCATATTGTTTTGCACGGGTATATTTTCTACTTTGTAGGAAGTTCGGTGCAGTAGAAGAGGTCCTGAAGCCTTAATCCAACCCATTCTCTATTGCAATGAAATGGCCAAAAGTCACAAGCAGATTCAAGCCCTTCCCCACCCCCTCTGACCACTCTGCATGGCCCAGGCTCAGGAAAGGTGCTTTTATCAAGTGAGCATCAGAAGATGCAAATGAGGGCACAGTCCATATTAGCACTGTGCTCCTCACTGTCTTGCCAGTCTCTCTCACTTATTCACTTAGCAGACACTGACTGAGTGCTTGCTGTTGCCAGTTCTGGCCAAGGCTGGCCATTTACAGACATGATCTCATGTTCACCACAGGCCTGGAAGGTAGATATCGTGAATGTTCCCATCTTACAAGTGGGGACCTTGCTCAGAGAGGTTAAGTAACTTGGCCGAGCTGTAGTCAGCAAATTGTAGATCTGAGATTTGGACCTAGGAGGTTGACACCAAAGTCCTTGTTCTTTCCACTTTGTCAAGCTGCTTCCTAGGTGCTCAGGATACATTTGATAGAGACACAAATGAATGAATGCCCCAAAGGTTTGCAGTTTTGACAAATATAATTCAACCACCATAGACAATGCAAAGGACTAAAGCAATGGCATTAATCTTTTGTTAGAGAGATATTATTGAAATACAAGTGTTGACATGGCCTTAGTGTTTGAATGAAACTTTCTGGAGGAGAGATCCAGACTCTTAGACTGAGCTCTTCTTTGCTGATGCTCTGAAACAGGGCTCCAGTCCCTTTCTTCTTCCTGAAACATGTCATCTAGTTATCTTATTAAACCTTCGAGTCCTCTTCTGTCCAAGTACTGCACAGAGACCCAAAGATCTGGGCGCCATTGCAGCCACCTCAGCATTTCCTCCCCTCTGTTGGGCTGGGTGGCCTCAGTGAAAAACAGAAGGGCCTGTTGGCTACAATCTGATAGCCATCTTGAATGTACTAATCCTGTCAAGACTGACCCTGAATGAGTAAATCAGTAGAGATGGAAATGTGACGACCCAAGACTAATTTCAAGACAAATGACATAAAACTCAACCTCTAAAAATACAAAAGACCAAGTTGTGAGAGGGCAGGCGGCTGGGAGTTTGAATCTCTCCCAACCATCAAAGAGTTTTGTAACAATCACTAGATTCTGTGGCTGACCCAGGCAACTTGGGCCAAGAAGCTCTGTCATCCCAGCCTGCATGTGTCTGCTTTAATAGTCCCAGCCGTCACTCTCCATCCACACAGGCTAGTGAAACAATTCTCTGGATTACTAGTCTGTGAGAGAGACCGACTGTCACCAGAACCTCTTATACAATAAATTAATGATGCAATAATCACCTAATTCCCAAAATGTGCACTTTATTGATATCTAAATGTAAAAATAGAAAAAAGAATTAAAAATCTCACGTTGTAGATTTATAAATGCAGTATCTTAAGTATTTCCTTGGTTATTCCACTAAGGTACTGTTTCAATTAATGTAGTTATAATTCAACACACCTCTACGTATTTGAGAAAGCCATTTAAAAAGTCCCATTCACCAAAAGATCCAAATGAAGGTAGAGGCCAAGAAGCTGTCACTGCCAATTCTTAATACTCTCATATTTAATTGGGAGTTCCTGCATGTTGACAGGCACATAAGATCTAACCACAAAAGCTTTCCCCCAAGAAAGTTATCTTGGCACTGGCACTGTATTCACAGACACATGCAAACTAGCATCAAGGAATTCTGTTTACCGATGGGCCACCCTCCCACATTGCCATTTTATAGAAGCACCAATGGCATGTTTGTCCCTTTGCTCAGCCCAAGTAGGGAGCCACAGAGAGGAGTCCCAGCTGTAGGCAGCGTACTTTGCTTTAGTGATCAAAAGAGCAGAAGGCTGGCCTCTGCTTTCCTTTCCCCCAAAGCAGTTCCTCACCTGCCTCTCCTAAAGGGTTAGACTGAGCGAGATGGCCCCCACATTCACCCCAGGCCACAGTACAGAGCAGCATTCTCAGTTAGCAAACCTGTTCCCCTGGTCAGGAGGAAAGTGCCCCCAACAGCTGGGGATTAAAACAGGAAATGCAAGGGAGGGAACATTCCAGGGTGAAATTAATACAAAAAAAAAAGAAAAATAGAAAAAAAAAGAAAGTGCACAGAGCCCATGAGGCTGTCTGGTTAACCCTGGATTAGAATCAAGTCCAGAGGATCACACACCACTCAGTGCTGGGCAAATCCACAACCCTGGGGAGAGACGGGGCCGGGGCAGTTCTCTCTCCTTCTCTCACCACTTATTCTCTCTTATTTTATTTTATATTTTTTGGTCTATTTGTAACCCAAATTTGGACCGGTCATTTTATCTGCCCAGCATTTTCATCCTTCCAGAGTCAAAGGAGCAACAAGGATGGGGTCCAAAGACCCCTTTCCCACCGCCAATCCCGGTCAGCCCTTCTCTCCCAGGGTTACGGGGTGCTCGGAGCAGACATTCCCAGTGGGACATGCCACACACAGCAAGTCGCCAAAGTGGCTGAGCAGAAGGGTTTCCAGGGCACTTACTTGTACTGGTGCTGGTTCCAATGGTGTTGATTGTGGTGGGGACGGATGAGGAGGAATAGAGAGGCACATGGCCATTCTCACATCCCAGGCTTTTGTCCTGCCAGTTGGAGGCGTTGATGCAAATCCCAGAATCTCGAGAGTTCTGCCACCCATTGAGCTTGTCGTCGGAGTTCTGTCTTTGGTGATAGTAGTGTGTCTGCCCATAATCCACAGAGTCTGAGCGGCCTCGGCTCTGGCCGCCAAAGCTGGTCGACGTGCGGTCCTCCAAGTGATTCAGCCACATGGCTAAAGCACCGCGGTCTTCCAGAGACGTGGCCGGGTGGATCAGAGCATAGGACAGCAGCTGCCTGCTCTCCTCAATGTGCTGGTTGTGCTCAATAGAGTGCGCCAGGATTTTGGGCAGCAGTTTCATATACTCTACTTTAGCGTCGAGGTTTCCTGGCTTCAGCAAAGGCAGGTGAGTTAACAGGAGGGAAATCACTTTATCCTTGGACTCCTGTTGCCATTGGTTAATGATTCCTGAAAAGGAAAATACACAGGCAAATAAGCAAACACACCCACAATGATACGAAACAGCACACTGTGAAGAGAACTCCTGTGGATTAGAGTCCCAATCTATTTACCCCAGCTAAATTTTCTCAAAGTAGCCCACGCGTCAGACGAGATAACCCACCTCAGGGGGTGAGGGGGCAGTGCCCTCAACGAAACACGGAACAAGCATTCTCGGATGTTTGGGTGCTGGATCGAACTCACTCAGGTCACCAGAGAGGGTACAACCATTTTGGTACAAGTTTCCCTTCCTGGAAAAGTCTAGCCACACTCCCAGACAGACGGGGCATGGGAAGAAGAAAATCTCCACCCCTGGCAATCGCCATCCTACCTTCCGTTTCTATGAATTCGACTCCTCTAGGGACCTCGCATAAGTGGAAGCACAGTGTTTGTCCTCACGTGACTGGCTTACTTCACTCAGCACAATGTCTTCAAGTTTCCCCCACGTGAAGATCCATTTTTAACACACTCACAAGGATCCCTTCCTGTTCCCTTCTGACCAAAACACAACTTGTTGCCTTTAGGTAAACATCGGTAAACAACGCACTTTGCTTGACTGGCCTTTGAGAAGTAGCTTGTTCTGGACACTGGTAGTTATCCACAGGACCCAGGCCACAGGAAAGAACACTCCCTTCCAGAAAAGTCATTCCTGATGTCTGGAGACCTCAACTCTGGCCCACTGATGACCCCACAGGGACAGGCAGTCCTACTAGCTTTCATGCGGTATCAGCAGGGTTGAAAAGGGGTTTCTGGAATTTAGCAGAAGGGCTTCACAATTCTAGTAAGGCATAAACATATCAGAACAAGCTCGAGTCCTCTCTGACCATAAGTTACAAACGCATCAGCCACGTACTAGAGGCCTCTCAGGACCACAGGGCATACGTATTCAGAGAAAAGCATCAGGCGAAGAAGGCATGGTGTGTAACGAGAGAAGGCGGGCTTTGGAGTGAGGCAAACCTGGGCCTGAATTCCAGATCTGCCGCTTAATTTGCAAGAGAAACTTGGTGAGTTACTTAACCTCTCTGAGCCTCAACTCCCTCATCAGTCAAGAGTTACTAACAGCACCTGCCCCTCCTTGTGTGGTAGGATTAAATGAGGAAATGTATCAAAAGGACTGATCACGTACTTGATGGTGGAAGTAATTCCTTCTACTTGTCTCTGCATTACTTAGGCCCACATTAGAGCCATGTGGGTGGTTTCTCATACTAAATTTTAAACATAACACAATAGTCCCCCTTATCTGCGGTTCCGCTTTCCGTGTTTTCAGTTACCTGCAGTCAACTGCTGTTGGAAAATATTAAAGGAAAATTCCAGAAATAAACCATTCATACGTTTTAAATCACACACTGTTCTGAGTAGCATGATGAAATCTCATGCTGACTGGCTCTATTCTGCCTGGGACGTCAATCATCCCTTTGTCCAGCGGATCCACACCATATACGCTACCCACCTGTTAGTCACTTAGTAGCCACCTTGGTTATCAGATAACTGTCGACGTATCCCAATGCTTGCGTCCAAGTAACCCTTATTTTACTTAATAAAGGCCCAAGCACAAGAGTAGTGATGCTGGCAATTTGGGTATGCCAAAGAGAAACTGTAAAGTGCTTCCTTTAAGTGAAAAGGTGAAACTTCTCTACTTAACAAGGAAAGAAAAAAAATCATATGTCGAGGTTGCTAAGATCTCCAGTAACTTTTATTAAAATATACTGTTATAAATGTTCTATTTTACTATTAGTTAATATTGTTAATCTCTTACTGTGCCTAATTTATAAGTGGACTTTATCATAGGCATGTCTGTATAGGAAAAAAAACATAGTCTCTATAGGGGTTGGTACTATCCGTGGTTTCAGGCATCCACTGGGGGTCTTGGAACATATCCCCCATGGATAAGGGGGTACTTCTGTATAGAGAAACCAGAGATGATCCAGAGGAGGTCATTAAAAAATATTAGAGTTGGGAAAGAGGTAGAATGTCAAAAGGTGAAAGAAAATGGGGTTATTGAGCTGACAATTGAATAATATGAAGAGATGCTTGAGGATTTCATTAAGTGGGGATGTCATAAGGAGATGAACAGTCAACTGTTTGAAGTAGAAGAGATCAAGATTGAATGTGGAGAAGAAGTGCAGTGTCAGAATGACGAAAGACTCAGAGGAGTCACCAAGGTAGGCTCTACCGTCTCTGTCCTGGAGGCCTGAAGAACAGAGCTGGATGGGCTCGAGGAGCACTGTTGGATGGGAATACAATGTGAGCCACATACGGAAGTCAAATTTTCTAGTTTTAAAAGGAAAGTAAAAACAAGGAGGTAAAATTCATTTTAATGATATGTTTTATTTAATTCAATATATCAAAATATTATTTTTTCAACTTTTAATCAATATAAAATTATTGATGAAACATTTTACACTCTTTTCTTTGTATTAAGTCTTCAAAATCCAGGGTGTCTTTCACCACCAACAGCACATCTCACCTTCGACTAGCCGCATCTGAAGTGCTCAGAAGCCCTATGTGGCTGGTGGCTACTGAACGGGCTAGCACAAGGCTCGAGACACTCACATGGGGAAGGCAGGTGGGAGGGCACAGATGACCTCGGCAGGTCCCTCCCAGCTCCCTGACTCTATATTTAGCTAACTGCCACCTGACACAAGACAACCCAGTGCATTCCATGAGGTACGCAGCCTCCCTTTTAAGGTAGATCTGGGAGATGAAGAAAGCGACCATCCTAACTCTCTCATCAGTGCATTTTCAGCAAACACCCTGCTTGTTTTAAATTATGAACATGCTAGGGATGTAGATAAAATCTACTCATTAAGCCCAAATTGCTAAACAGGCACTAGCAAGAAGCAAAAGGCCTGAGACAAAGATGAATCTCCGTCTGACGCCAACAGTGAGCAGAGCCAGCTAGTGCACACCCTGGAAAATGTACGTTTAAAAATAAAATTTGGGCACAACTTTTTAAAAAAAGGCATGAGGCTGAGGAAGCCCCTGGCTTTCTGCTAGGTCACTTCTCTGTGTGGATACTCTGCTCTTTCGCAAAAGGTCAGCCTGAAAAAAACCATCAGGAACAAAAATAAAATGTGAATAGAACTCAGAGTGCAAACTAAACCGTTATCTGCTTGTAAGCGCTCTCTGCCAGGGATCAACCTGGGGTCTAGAGGAGGGACGAGCACAGCAAAGAGGAAAGGAAAACAGGAGGCCCTGGCCCCGGGCCCTGCCAGGCAAAAAGGGTTCTTTCTTTATCCTCCAGATGAGCTTGGGTGTGTGGGGCTGTGGTGTGGCCCGGAGGACAACCATGACTTTTGCTTACTGCCACTGGGAACATGGCAGGAAGCCTGCCTTCAGAGCGCTAACTCCACTGACTGGATCAGGCGATCTCTGCTACCGCTCCAGCGGCCATGCTGGCGGCTAACTACTGAAATGCTTGCCACAAGCCAGGCATTTTTCTAAGTGCTGTGCATATAATTACTCATTTAATCCTCACAGGAAGCTTATGAAGTAGGTCTTATTACCAGTTTTATTTTACAGATGGGCACACAGAGGCACAGAGAGGTCAAGTAACTTGCCCCAGGTGCCCTGGCAGGATGGGAGTATGCAAATTAGCATAAAGATGCATAAGGGCTATGAGGCTAGAAGAGCTTGGCCACAGGCTAATACATTAACATTTATAATATACATAACCTATAACTATATAACACATAAAATATATTATAATATACATAACCTATAACTATATAACACATAAAATATATAATTATACATTCATATAGAATTACATATAAAGCATATGTACATATGTTATATTTAAAAACATATTAGTAGAGTACATGGATCAGCAGAAGAGTTGGTCAGCTGCAGGCATGTAGAAAAAAAGGAGTTACAGAGACAAAGTAGGTGACACCTACTGTGGCTTTAAAATATGTCCACAATTTCTTTGACACTCCTCTCTCTTTAAAAGGTGGGGTCTAATTAACTTCCTTCCCTTGAGTGCAGGCTGGACTTAATAAGTCACCTCGAGCAAAGAGAACGTAGGGCAGTGTCAGTGTGCGACCCTGTGACTAGGTTATAAAGGCACAGCAGTTCGCACCTTGCTCCCTCACTCTGGGGGGAAGCCAGATGCCATGTGGTGAGGACACTCCAGCAGCCTGACAGGAGGTCCTGATGGTGAGGACCTGAGCCTCCTGCCACACCATGGGAGGGACCATCCCGGAAGCAGCTTGCCCAGCCCCAGTTAAGCCTTCAGACCACTGCCCTCCAGACAACATTCCGAGGGACCACCCATATTCCAGGTCGGCAGAAACCGTGGGATATCATGTTTATTGTTGTTTTAAGTTGCTACATTTTGGGCAATTTGTTATGTGGCCAAAGATAACTAACACACCTCTCCAAGTGCCTCTCCAGGAAAAAGGAAGTTTTAGCCATTTGGCTTTGAGAAGTTCAGTCCTTCGGGAAAAGTCATTCCCACACTGAGATGGACTCATGAAGCTAAGCTGTTGCCACTAAACACGCACTTCACTTAGCTGCCCACATGCTGACTACTCACTCAGCAAACCACCTTTGGACTGTGATTCAGCTCCCCAGACATACCTTCAGGGAGAGAATGAACTGATCATACAGACTCGAGGTATTTCTAGATTCCACGACGATGATTTTTCAGGGCAACTCAATAAACGGCTTCTGATTATGATTTGGCTCCCTGCGGAGGCCTTCCCGTGCTGATTGTATGGACTTTGGGTACACCTGGTCCCTCTGATGATGGCTCCTCATGGCAAATTAATAAGCCAGGATTGTAGGGTATACTTCCCCACTTTCTAGTTAGTGTGAGTCAGTCTCTCAGGGTGACCATCCCCAGGGCACGGACGAGTGAGAATCTCCATCCTCAAACAGAAGCCAGGTCCTGCAGTGGTACATGATGGCTAGGTCCTGCCCAGCTGCCCACTGGCTTCCTTTGTGGCATCCACACCACCTTCCAGAGA